AAGATCGCGTGCGCTTTTTAAAAATTGCATGTCATTATTTCACAAAATGAAGACATAAGGTTTACGGTTCCTTGAACTCTGCTGTCTGAAGGAAAGTGACTTGACTGCATTGGTTCCACATACAACAAGCCAGTAACTCAGAAGACAGAAGTCAAATGCTAAAAAAATGAGTCTGAGAAATTATTAATATCTACTCACTTTTTTTTTTATACAGAGTCTTTTATATCGATATACCATTGAAAGGCTCACAGTCACTACAGAGCATTTAGCACAAAAAAAAGCTATGTGCAGATGATGATACATAAACAAGACAAAACTGAAAGTGGGGTAAAGGCACACATGAAAAACATTATACCCACTTACGGTAGATAAAGCACTGTATTGCCTTACACAGAATTTCTACAATTTTACTTTTTTAATTACAGATGGATCAGACAGGCATCCTTTAATGAAAAATAAACTGCTGAAAAGCCTTCTAAAACTAACAAATATTTTCCCAAGGCATAGGTCATAACAGTAGTTTTGTCCTCTAGATCATGGGAAACAGTAATCCCTACATGGCCAATATCAAAATCAGCCACCATCAAGATGATAGTGAGAAAATATTGCATCTGGTGGCCAACTGTGGCTCAATAAAAGGGGGGATAAGAGACTGATAAGGTAGGTGTTTCAGGAAAGGAGATGGCTTTCCTGCTATCACCTGCTTGGCCATGAATCTCGAGAGGATACTGAGTATCCAGTACAGTCTTACACTGGCTGGTTTTACTGGAGCAGGTTTGAAGGAATCAAAAAGAAATTTTTCCAAAAAGACAGAGCAGGGAGAGGCTTCCGTATTTGGTATATCATCGTTCTTAAAGTTTATGTATTCCATATAATTGGCCAACTACAGCATCATCTGTGGCTATAGAAAAATGAAGTGTTCAGCAGTAAATTCTAGATTTTGGGCAGACAGATCTTCAGATGCCATGGGAGAAACAGAATGAATAGAAACTGTTTCATGGATCTCTAAAATATGGTCCCGACTCCTTGACAGAAGCAGTGATATTCTTTGATCACATTAATTTTTTAAAATGTATTACATTTACAATTGCTTATATAAATATCTACTACTTATATGCTCTATGTAAGTGTTGTCTTTCTGCCTGTCACCAGAATTTATAAAGCAAAGACCACTTTAAACAGATAAGAAATCCGTGTGGTGACAAGCTCAATGTAATCTGTATCTCAAAATATTAACAATTTAAATTAAATGGAATAGGACTGCCTTCCTTTTCATGCTCCGATGTGTTCTCATAAGACACTTGAGGAAGTTGAACAGGTAGTCCAGTGGACAACAAAAATACTGTTTGCCTGGAAAATGACTACTAAATTAAAAAAGAATTGAATTAACCAAAAAAAAATCCTAAATCAAAATTTGTTTCTAGTATGCACTTCTGGTATGTATTCCACATTGTGGGAAAAGCTGAAAGTGAATCTAATTGCTTTTCATCCTCTTTTCTCAGCCAAAACGGATCACAGAATCACTGAAGTCTATAGAAAACATCAAGAATATTACTGCAGCAGTTGAATCTTAACACATTCCACCTTTGCCACCAAAATGGTTTATATGAATGAGCCGAGATGTGCTTTAGGTTTGTTCATACCAATCACTCAAACAGCCTGCACAAACCTGAGTGTTTTGCAGCAACTCTTCTGCAGGAGATGGTAACTCCCAGCACACACAGAAATCCAAAATGGCAAACTTTTGTGTTTTAAATTGCCGTAGTCACTAGTTAAATTAACATCTGCCTATGGTCTTAACTTTCTTGTTTTCTATTTGACCTACTTCCCATTATCTGCCAGAAAAGAAACCTTGCTCTAAAACGTCATGGGAATGGTTCACGCTGCTTTTGATAAACTTTGAATAAACAGTCCTGAGACAAGTCTATTAAACCAAAATATATTACTTCTTTAACCTTGCAACCACTGGGTAGTTCTGGGAACAGATATAAAATCTTCAGCAGAATTTAAGAATATCACAAGCTCTCAGTTATCTTCTTATTTTAGGAAGATATGTCTGTAAGAGTAAGATATCTCTTCAGTCCACAGGAGGAAAAGTAGATTCCTAAAAAGAAGACTAAAAGAGATGAAAAGCTATGAGAAAATGACCTTTAACCAAACAAAAGACCTTGGTAGAAAATTCTCCCTTGTGGTCATTGGCTGTTATTCAGCTAGATCCTTTCACAGTTGAAAAAGACTGGCTTTGCTTTTGGGTTTTGTGATTGCTTAACTACTTTGAAGTTTTAAGTATTAAACAGAACACTCTAGGGATCTAGAAAAGCCCCATCTGGGAAGAAACTTTGTTTATAAACAAACTGCAGTTCTCAATTTTATCTGGTCCAGTATTTCTGCCATAAGCCGCATAAGCATCTTACAGTTTAAGATTGCTCAGTGCCCCTTCTAAGGGCAAAGATTCGTTAAAAACTCAGTTTTCAAAGTTTGCTTCATTTATCCCGAGGAAGATAAGAGGTGCAAAACACAAAATAGTCTGGGGCATATTACTTTGAGTTCTGGAAGGAAGAAGAGAGACCTGAAAAATTGTTGGGAATGGACATTGCCTGACACAACAAGAAGAAAGACGAGTCCTCAGTTAGAAGACTGCTCCAGGTAGGAGAAGCGTGCAGATATCTGATGTAGAAATGGGTCTTTCAGGCTCCAAACAGACTGCTGATCAGACTAGTAACAAAATCAGAAGGGTAGCAGAGCATCTCAAGTTACAGAAATCTCACCCAAAGGAGGAAGTAAGTATCCCAAAATGAAGGTATTTAAGGGATCAAGGAATTAATGTCTCAGGACAAAGATGATTAAAAAACTCAGATACCTCACATTACTATCTGAACTTTCTTTTCTTAACATTCAGCATTACTAGAAATTTCTGCACCCTTCTTTAAGTTACTAAGTTCTAATGATATTTTAGGCTTTCGATGCAGCACAACAGTCATAAATTATAACAATATTTGATAAGCATTTAAACATTTCAAGGCAATTCATAAGATGTGGTCTACCAAGGATAATTATTATTAATTTTACAGATACAGAATAGTTTTTCCAGTCCAAAGTCCCACAGCTGAGTTCATTGTAAATTGAACAAACAGCAGTGTGGGGGCAATATGGTTCCCATATAACTAGGATTTAGGAATTCGATTATATTTCTAAAGGCCCTCAAAATAGGCTGGTATAGCTTTCCTCAATTTGACAGTAGCAGCCAAACAGGAGAACAAGGCTCTGTAAACACCTGATTTTAGACTGATAAAAAATTTAAGATCCTATCAATCAAATGAAAAATTTCTAAATTTTAGTCACAAATTTAAATCATACATTTCACCTTTACAAACATTTCAGCTTTGATGCATTTTTAACAAAACCAAAGTGATGTCAATATTTTACACCCAAGTTGCAGTCTGGGGTGGATCCTTCACCTCACTGCTGAGGAACTATCATGATCTGAAAGGGAGAGATACACAGTTTTGCCACATAACTAGAAATGCCATGTCAGGTTCTGGGATGTTCATTTAGAACATGGGAAAGGTAGATTCAAACCCCCTTTCTCAAGAAAGTGCCCAGACCGTTGTGCTATGCAGGAATCTGAAGGAACTGTTGCAGCAGGTTAGACAAGTAGGGTTTTTTATCAAGCCTCCCTCCTGTACTATCAATATAAGCTTGTGGTCTCTATAAAAGCTAGTAACATTCCAGAGATCATGAACGTATGGAGTATGTGTGTGACTAATGTTTGTTTAATGTTTAATCTGTATTATGAGTAATTTCAAATAGGGTTTAGGGACATAAATTGTTCAGATTGGACTAATTAAACAAGAACTGGTGTAAAAACCCTTTACTCATGCAGTTTATTTGGCTCGAGTGAGCTATGAATGCACGAATATGTATGTGCCCGTGTAGCCTTCCTTTGAGGCACAAGGAAAAGACACAGATTATTAAAATTGCATAGGCACCACGTGAGAATGGCAAAGGTGGCTGTAGAATAAAAATGAGGAAGTACCTGGCAAATGTCACCTAGAGCTGAAGTATTCCATTTGGTGTCATTTAGTCCTCTGAAGTACATGATTAACTCTTAAAGCTGATACAAGGCACAAAAAAAAGAAAAGCAGGAACTGAAAATCAGGAAGACAGAAAAGAATGCCCCAAACTGATGGGCCCATGGGAGCTTCTTCCCTGGCTCTCTGCCTTGCTTTGGATTTAGAATTCAGGACATTATTCAGAAGACCAGGATTTGCTTTGGGTTTCTGGACAATCAATCCAACAACTAGGATCCCAGGCATCAAAGCAGGGGAGGGTAAGTTCCCTTACCTTTACTTAGAAAGGTGAGAATTTCTCAGAATCAGGTAACAGTGAATTTTAACTGTGATGTGTCATACATGAATATTCCAGGTAACTATTCTAAGCAGTGCTAAGCAAAATAGGAGGAAGAAACTGCTGTTCATCCTCCTTAGTTTGTGAAAACTATCCTGAAAAATGTTTGGAACTAAAACTGTATGTGCATTTCAACATGCTTTGAGATTTAAATCATTTTCATGAATACATCTGTTCATGAACCTATACAGTTTTAGGAATAAGGGGACTGGGTGACAGCAAAGCTATTACTGGCATAAACCTCATACTTGGGAAGGGGCTGTTTTTCCCCTTTTCCACCTGCTGTGGTAAAACTGCAGTCTGGTTTTGAAAAGCAGTTTTAGAACATTCAGATCTTAAGAAATAGATGTTAGAGGACTGATTTTTTTTTTTCCCCCAAAAAAGAAAATCCATGTGCAACAAGGAATGGAATTAAATTGCATAAGTGATCAGCACACATGCATTTCATAATTTTGCTTACATACACTAGTTCTGAGTCAGGAATACTCACTGAAACATGCTACTCTTGCAAGCACTACCTACTTTGCTCTGTTATTAATCACACGTGATGCAAGCACTCCCACCCATTTCTGAGAACAGTGTAGGCAGTCTGATAACTCACAGGCTTCAAGCTGCCCTTATAAAGTCGTTCCACTTGTGCACACTTCCTCATACTGCTAGTTTCTCTGTGAAGATGAAGCTGCTTGTTTACTTAGTCTTGCTGAAGACAGCTCTCCTCACTTTAACAAATGTCTTTGCAGTTATTTTAGAAGATGAAGAGGATGCTAAAGAAGGAAAACTTACTGAGACTTGTCCTATAAAGCTCAAAACTAATCGGAAATGTGATGGAGGAGAGGATTGTCCTTATCAGATAAATCTGCCTCCGATGACCATCCAGTTACCCAAAGAATTCAGACTGCTTGAGAAGACTCTCAAAGAAGTACAGACCCTCAAAGAAGCAGTAAACAAGCTGAAGAAATGCTGCCAGCTGCAGGCAGATGACAACCAAGAGAGAGACAGTAGTAATGAATTCCAGCTACCTAATGCAGAAACTCCAGCAGAAACGAGCACAATCCAAGATAACAGAGTAAAGGACCTGCAAAGCAAAGTTAACAGAATGGCAACCAGCTTGAAAAATGCAAAGAGCCAGATTCAGACACTGCAGGGTCGTTTAGAGAAGATGAGCCTCATAAATATGAACAATGTAGAACATTATGTTGACAGCAAAGTTGCTAATTTGACATTTGTTGTGAACAGCCTTGATAACAAATGTTCTTCTAAATGTCCAGCAATGCAACCAAGACCCGGTATGTAACCTGTTAATCCTTACTGCCTGTATAAGTTTTCTGTGCATTTTATAAATATTAGCCAAACAATTTAAAATATATTTTAACTAAATAGCTGTGCTATTAACTTCACAAGTAAAGTATTTGCTCTGTAGTGTTTATTTATACTGCTGTAAAGTATTTCAGCTGCCACTAGAGGGTTACTGAGAACTGCAGGTGTTCAGTTCCTCCTAGAATTGGACTTTACTATGGGATTTAAAACATGAATTTTCAAATTACCCCCCCCCTTTTTTTTTCCCCAATTCAATTAGTAAACATGAAAAATTAACTTACTATTTTACACCCTACTACCCTTCATTAAGGATATTAAATATGTGAACTATGTATGTTTTCTCCTTGGATGACAAGGTAAATTTTCTCTAGGTGTGCCTTTATGGGTTTTTTTCAATGTGAAACTGCAATTATTCTGAAACTTGTCTGCAAGTCATTATTAAACATCAAGAGAATCTAGTAAACTTTTAAACAGATTGATAATAAAAGAATATTTCTACCATCACAGTGAATATCTGAAAGGCTTAGATAAAAAAGCTTAACTACTTCTCTAGGGTAATGTATGTACTATCATTTTAATACTAAACCCTTAACATGAATCTAATATCTAAACAATATAAAATAGAAAACAGGTGTTATCACTGACACTTTTTTCTATTACTTTTTAATTGTCCTAATTAAAACTAGGAAATAGAACTAATAATTTCTTTCTAATGTTGACTCATTAAGAGAAGATTAAAGGTCTTTTTGAAGTCATAAAGTTTTTATATCACATGTAAGAATCTTTCAAATCAAGAAATAGTCACTAGATGGTCTGTGTATTCTACCACTTAGATCATACATACGAAGATAGGGTTCTCTAGAGATAAAGCAAAGAAAAATCAGGCTGCATTACAGTTTTTAAGCCTCTGTTGCTTAGCATTCAAGTTTTAAAATAAAACTGTTCTTCTGTCTACCCATATTAAAAATTGAAGGATCTGCAGATGGTACAGTGTATGTACAGCTGAAATTCTTGAAAGTGTGAAAACAGCAAATGAATAATAATAAAGGTAATGCATTTACTATATCAACAATCTGCTTAAATCAGGTATCAGTATAAATCAGTTACTTTAATTCAGATATAAAACATTCACAAAAAGAATGATAATGGGAATGAATCAAATTCAAGTACAGTACTTCATAACAGACTAATTTTAGAGAATTCTCACACTGAAATGTTGAGTACTGATCATAGTATATAATCATGTGGATATTTCTTATATTTTACAGTAACTGATGCTAAAATTGTTTGTAGCAGCAATATGTACACTATGAAAACTAGCAAGGATAACAGCTACACCTTTTCCCCATACAGAAGCTATTCCTGCTTCCACTGAAAGTAACAGCAAACTTTATTTAAATAGGAGTTGGATTATAAAAGCATTTTAGCTGAAATGTATATTCTCTGTCAGTATCTGCTCTGAAACTTGTTCCACCAAACATCTTACAGTTCAGTGAAATAACGAGACTGTTGTGGATTCAAGAAGCTTTCATAGATGCCTAGTTTTTTGTACAGGCAGTTTTTTGTAGAGGCAAGAAAGGACTCCTGAGTCTTAGCCTCTGTTGCAGCCTGAAAGAGAATACTCCTCTTTTTCAAGAAGCAGTTTAATAGTTTCATTTTTTTCTAGGAAAAATATGCAATTTAAGCCTGCAAATGAACAGGCACATAAATTGAAATCTGCAATACGAATGAACATTATGATTTTGACTGTTAACTCAGAAATTCTGAGAGTTCTCTGTATCACTTACTTAAGAACTTGGAATTATAATACCATTTGGTTGAACACAATGTCATTACTTCATGACATTGTGGATCAAAAATGGATTTCCACTCTGCAGGAAAAACCTGGGGCTATTTTTCTTCTGAATAGAATACATCATCTATCAGTGCAAAAAAAGCTGTGTTAATGGTAGATGATAAAACTTTTTCTTCCTGTAAAGCCAGCAATGCCACATAAACAGGAAAGCACCATCACTTTTATAGCTTAATCTTTCTAGGAATAGCATTACTACAATAAATCAGACAATTTTATTACTTTTTTTTCCTGTTGCCTAAAGTACAGTCAACATTAAGACATGAAATATTCTTAATGATGTTATGTTCTGTATCAAGTGATGTCAACTGAACAACAGCCAGGTTAATGTCATTCCCATATGGAGAAAGCTTTTTCTCTGACATACTGCCAGATGAAAAGTTAAATTATAGACAGGGTGTGATGGAATATCCTTAAAATACAAAAAGCAGCAAGTGTGAAAAAAACCCAAAGCATTAGAAATCTCAACTAAAGAAATTGGTCTGAACTTACAGGAGGTAGTGAAAGGATAAAGAGAAGGGTAGAGATAAGGAGAAAGGGGAAAGGAAACAATGAAAATGCCCCCCTATTAGGCAGTTTTGATACAAAAAGTCTTTAAAATGAGTTTTTTTCAGGCAGCTATCTGATGCAGATTCTAGATGGCGTGAATTATAGAATAAACCTGATGGAAGAAAACTGTTTCTCTCTAGAACTGAAATTGCTGTAATTATGTAGAAGCCTATCCAATCCAAGTTCTGTATGCCACATCAGTCTGGGTAAAAACATGCTTATTTTGAAATTGAAATTATGTTTATTCTAACACTATCTGTTCTTCCCCCAGTTATACAAATAATGCAGAGAGACTGTGCTGATCATTACACAGCAGGCAGAAGGAGTAACGGACTCTACAGGATTAGCCCTGACCCCAGAAATGATAGCTTTGAAGTTTACTGTGACATGCGAACACATGGAGGCGGCTGGACAGTGCTGCAACGGCGTCAGGATGGTAGCACTAACTTTAACAGAACCTGGAATGACTACAAAAATGGCTTTGGAAACCTCAGCAGGGAGTTTTGGCTGGGGAATGACAAAATTCACCTCCTGACAAAGAGCCAGGAAATGCAGCTAAGAATTGAACTTGAAGATTTTAATGGTATCAGGGAGTACGCGAAATATGAACACTTCTATGTGGCCAACGAATATCTAAAGTACCGTCTAAGCGTTCACGGCTACAGCGGCACAGCAGGAGATGCCCTTCACTACAGCAAGCATTACAACCACGATCAAAAGTTCTTCACAACTCCAGACAAGGACAATGATCGGTATCCATCAGGAAACTGTGGGGCATACTACAGCTCTGGCTGGTGGTTTGATGCGTGCTTGTCTGCCAACCTCAATGGCAAGTACTACCACAAGAAATACAAAGGTGTTCGCAATGGCATTTTCTGGGGTACATGGCATGGTATTTCTGATGATATTCCCAGTGGATATAGGCAAGCCTTTAAATCAGTAAAAATCATGATCAGACCCAAAAGTTTTGTGCAGTAATTCTACACTTTTCTCTTAACTAGTCTGCATTGGATTGCACTCAAAATCTTACTTACTCAGTATTATACTCAGAACTCAATTATTCAGTTATGTTTGGCATAAAATAGTTCTAGACAAAACATACTTCCACATAAATTTTTAGAGATGGTTTGACCCATATAATGTATTAAAGCCAGCATAAATGTTTCTGAATAGTTATAGCTAAAACATAATAGAGGTTGAGTCTTGGTATTGTTATGTAAATATTCTAAACATTGCTTTTGGTACTTTTACTGACTGTGACATACCAGAGAATTTAAAACTTACAAATGTCTTCCACAAATTGTGTCTGAATGAACACCTCCATTTTAACCTGAAAATAACGCAGAGGTATAACTGATAATCTGTCAACACTTAGAAGGAAAATTAGTCTTTCTAAAACATCCTGACTTTGTAGATCATTTGTCCCTCACAACTTCAAAGGTATACCAAGGCAATATCAAGTGAAGTTAGGAAAAGTACTACAAGTTATTATTTTTAAAGGTCTAGGAAAGAGAGAGCCACACAGTTTGCCCAAAGACACAAAAAAAGCCTTGAAGAAAACTTACGAAATGAAGATGAATCCTCAAATCTTATCCCCTTTGTCAAAGATTATTCAAAGAAGTTGGTGAAGGAATTTAATAAAAGCAAGTGGAAATAATGTAGACAGCATGTAATGAAAGACAGTATTTCTTGCTCATTTTGGTGGTTCTGTTCAAGCTGAAGGTCCTGTTTGTTGTTTATGGGAGAAAGGACATATTACATAGCTTATTGCACATTTATGCAGCCAAGTAGACAGGTAGGAAGGACACACATCAAGAAGAATTCCTGTCTTTGTATTAATGCCTCTAAATACATACAAGAAGCATTTACAGTGCCATTTTTCTTTCTTGTCAATCTTTCAAGTAAGCCAGATGTTACAAGATGATTCTTGTAGAGACTCAAGCTCTCATTTAAGTACATCTCACTCTAGGTACCATTAGACCTTAAAATTATAAGATTATTTATTTCGCAAGATAGAAAAAGACTGTGTTCTCCCCATTTTCTAAGTACCACAAAAACATGAACTGGCAAGTATGAACAGAAAAGAGTCTGTGAAATACTTTTTTCCTCTAAAATGTAACAAATGAAACAATAAAATTTTTAAATACTTCAAGAAGTGCAAATTAGAGATATTACTATTAAAGCTCATGTTGTAGACAGCAAGCACAGATTTGACTACATGTATCTATTGCCTCACCTACAAAGGACATGGCTCTGTAATCACAGCGACTAACATTCTGAGTGGAGATGCAGCTTACCTCAGCAAGAGGCTGGTTTACTATGTTCCTTATGCCAGTCCTGAGACACACATAAACTATACTGACTGTATTTCTTCACCAGTTAAAGTGTGGTCTTTGCTGGCATAACCATTTTGATTAAGAGACATGCCAAAAAAAAAGTATACACCTGACCTAATACTTTACAAATATGACCTTTACTGGTTTTTTTTAAGATGATAATGAAGAACTATTATGGTTACAAGTTATGCAAATGAGCAACAGTGGCAATTGCTAAATTGTAAAATATTAATATATATTTTAAGGAAGTAAATACTTTGAAGGCTATTTCAGTGTGAAGTGTAATTTGGTTTATTTTATTCCAATTTTAAAGAGTAATGGAAAATTCTAATTGCAAGATGTATAATCTTTGAGAATGTGTTTTGAAGTTATAGAATATTTATTTTGGGATAAAAAAGGATTGTCTAAACAACAAAAAAAAAAACCTTATGACGTATTGGTTAGAAAAGTAAATAACTGCTTGCATATGATTCATTTAATCCTTTTTCATGAAATGCACAATTTGCTCTTATTCATGGTAACTAGCTCAGTATAACTTACAGTATCTACAAGCTTCTACTTGAAAATGTCTTTTTCCTGCTAAGTTGTTAGAAGAGAAACTGTCCTTTTGTTATCCTGTTTAAAGGAAACTTTGTAAAACACAGAAATTTTATCAGAATAAGCAAATATGACTAATATCACCTATAAAAGCCTTGTCTGATGTCTTTAAAAAAAAAAAAAG